TGTCAATTTCATTAGAAAAAGAGCGAGCAATTGTGAAGTGTGCTGACAAAGTGAGCTGCTTCTTGATTCGAGCTCTATGGAAATAAGATACATCCCGCTTATAGGTGAAGTTTTGACAATTTCTAAGTATGAAATAATAAAAGGCATATTGTACTTAAAGAATAATATGCCATCAATAGAAAATCTACAAATTTGACCCTAGTCTTTCGTGTGGGTTTTTGGCCAATGCCTCCATTTGTGCATTGCGAGAAGTAACTCATTTTGTCAGCACGTCTCACAAATGGAGGTCACGCTTGTTTGTCACGGGTCACTTCCAGCCACCAGTTAGTAGAAAATAATTATATTATCAAACCGATTTTGGTCGATTAAGTATTCATTAGCTGACCCAGTTCCAGAACTGACCAACTTCCTTAGACGTTACTATAATATAGTGGAATAGATGCTCACAGGCTTCAACGTTTTAAGATGTGTGTGTGTGTGTGTGTGTGTGTGTGTGTGTGTGTGTGTGTGTGTGTGTGTGTGTGTGTGTGTGCGTGTGTGTGTGTGCGTGTTTGTCAGTGGTAGTACAGAGAGCTCGATATCGAACAGGATCGCGACTTTCTCCGATAGCTGACGTCACCGTACACTCTGTTGCGGCTACTCCCTCTCCCTTCTCCCCGACAGCAGATACCCAGGAAGACGGACCTCAGGACGTTACTGTAGGCTCGACGGAACCCCACTCGACACAGCGCGTAAATGACCGGGTTCGAAACCGACTTGGTGAAGGCGATCATGATGACGGCATTGAGAAAGTAGTCCAGATGGCAGTGCGAGCAGATGATGTTGATAATGATGACGACAGCGAACGGGAACCAGGCCAGGATGAACGACGCGCACACCAGCGCCACCATCTTGGCTATTTGTCCAGACACGAAGTAGTAGTTAGAGTCTCCGCGCGCGTCTCTGAAAACGTTGGACTCTCTCCTAGACTGAGGGGACCGCAGTCGAGAGTAGAAGTCGTCGCCAGTGTCCTTGGCATGGTGGTCTCTGAACAGAGCCGAGTCTCCCCGGGGGAGGGTGAAAGTTGTTCGTGGCCGGGAGGCGTCGTGATTGGAGCTCCGAGTGTTTCCGAAAGCGGCCGACGAGTAGCCACGAGAGGGGGGCGTCATCGTTGGGAGTCGGGAGAAGCCGTCGGTGCTGAAGTGAACGGTCGACCTGCGGGGTTGTTGCGAGACGAGAGCATCTGCTGTTGTTGTTGTTGCTGTTGTTGTTGTTGTCTCCACGTCTGCCTGCCTTATATCATAGTTATCACCACCATTATCATTATCATTATCGCTATTATTATTACTGTTAGTGTTATAATTTATGGAGCCGCAGTCAAAGTTCACCCTTGATGTTCTGTCGTTGAGGGAAAAACCATTATTTGTACGACCCTTGTGTGGAATCGTAGCCCAGGGAGAAACAGGCTTGAGACGCACAGAGCGGCGACATGAGTTGTTGGTGGAGGTGTGGGGATAGTCCAGGAGGAAACGTTCGTTATTACCTCTAATGTGGGGATAGTCCTGGCAGTTTGGGTTATTCCCACGTGCTTGGGGGTAGTCCACGAAACATGAGTTATTTCCACGAGTGTGGGGATAGTCCTGGTGAAATGGGTTATTACGACTAGAGTGGGAATAGCCGTGACGAGTATTCATACGCGGTGTACACGAGTTCTCACATAACAGAGGCTGCCCCGCACAGTCAACGATAGACGCACCGTCATGTTCTTCCATGTGGTCTTCTTCAGAAAACTGACATTGTTCAACCTCAGGATAAAAAGTGAGCCCACGTCTCGGAGACATCCTTTCGTTATTCTCAGCGCAAGAAATATTGACTGGCCCAACAGACATCCCTCTCCTCTCTGCTAGGCTCCGGACAAACGCACTTTCATCCATCCTCGGCGTTTCCTGATGACCCACCATACAACCTTGACAAAACCTCTCCGCTTCCAATGACCGGTTTATGGCCGCTGTTCCCAGCTCAGTCTTTCCATCTAGCAGCGCCCCCTCCGAATGTCTTCGGCAGTTGGGACGAATGAGCGCCAGGTTGTTGGACATGAGATCGTCTGTCGTAGACCAAGCTCTGTACCGCTTGGCGTGTTTTTTACAAGTGTTTCCCGTCGCGGTCCTCCCGCACGGGTTTGTGTCTCCGGGGTACGGCTGTGAGGGTGGGTCTACTCCGTCAGGGTTTGAACCTGGGAGATCAGTAACACAGCCTGAGATCTCGCCAGGATACAGCTGACAGTTATGTGCGCTGTCTGTGGTCAGCGTGTTTGAGCCAGACGTGCTGTCAGTCGTGAGAAAACTGGATGTGGTGTGAGCAGAAAGTATATTTGAACAAGAAGCGCTTCCAACAGAAAGCATATTTGAACAAGATGTGCTCTGAGCAGATCGAACATTCGAATAATAAGTGCTATGAGCAGACAGCATATTTGAACAAGAAGCGCTTCCTGCAGACAGCATAATATTTGAACAAGAAGCGCTTCCTGCAGACAGCATATTTGAACAAGAAGTGCTTTGAGCAGATAGAATATTTGAATCAGAGACGTTTTCAGCTGAGAGCATGTTAGAACAAGATCCCCCAAGGACATGCATTGCTCTAGTCTCTACAATCTCCACAACAAAATGGTGGCTGTCGTTTCCGTAGGTAGGACTGGGGTCGCACTGATCTCCCGTAAAGTTAAAGATTCCCGAGTCAGAGCCACTGGTGTCTGTACTTCTACCGGAACCTTCCTGCTCCTGACTCGTGAGTTCACCAGAACCCGAGATACGAGAGTACGAGGGACCGAACATCCCCTCGGCGAGTTCACGGGAAATACGAGATGGCGATGGACCGAGCATTCCTTCGGCTAGTTCATCATGACTCGAGATACAAGAGTACGACGGATCGAGCATCTCCTCGGCGAGTTCACCTGGATTTGGGATACGAGAGTAGGAGGGCCCCACTATCTCCTCGATGAGTTCACCATGACTCGGGAGACGAAAGCGCGATGGATCGAGCATCTCCTCTGCGAACGCTTCTACGCCGCCGGAGCTGTTCCTGATTCTGATTGGTTTGCCAGCCTGTGACGTAGCAGCGTCTCTAATCAGAGCGCAGTTGTCATTGGAGACGCCGGTAGACGAGGTAGAGGGCGTGGGAAGTTTAGAGAGTACCGGAAGTCCGTCGTTGCTGGCACAGTTGTGCAGCGCTGAGGTGTCCGAGTCGAGCTGGCCAAAGTGTCTATGGGAGAACGCAACTCCCGCCTTTCTCGCCCTGCCTGGACCCCTTTCTGCTCTCCCCCTGACCAGCCGGGAGAAGAAAATGGAGAGACAAAGAGCGGCAGACGTGAGCTGAGGCAGACATCTCTTATCTCCACTGATACATCCACACGTCGTCGTCGTCGTGTTTGCCGCTGTTGTTGTCTCCTCCAACAGTTCGTTCCTCCACAGACTGGAGTCTTGCCTCTCCTTCTTCTCTCTCGGACTACCACCTCCAGAGAAGAAGGACAAGGAATTGGAGGTGACGTAGGTGAGGGACTGTCTCCGCTTATCCTGATTCTGCGCCTCGCAGAGAACGCGAACGTTGAGGACGACGATGAGAACGAGTGGCCCGAGCACGCCGCAGACAGAGGAGACGAGGAGGAAGGTGTGGTTAAACTTGCCGTAATAGCTGCACGTGTGGCCACCTGTGTCGATGGCGAAGGAAGAGATCCCCGTGAAGACCGCGCTGAAGAACCAGATGAGCACGATAGCCACTTGGTGGATCCACGGGTAGCAGATCACGAAGTCTCGGTGTTTGAACGGCTGGCACACGGCAAAGTACTGCTCGAAGCTGAAGAGTACAAGTAAATTGTAGCATTGTATTATTAGTCGATTCTGGGTTGGACTGACATTTATGTGTCCCCTAGATCAACATTTTTCAGTAAAATTCACGAATTATTTTTTTTAAAATGGATATATACGGTGTTGAACCAAAGTGAAAATTTCAGAAAAAAATAATACGTCAAAATTGCCCAACGATCTGGAAAAAGTCAAAAACTACCAAACCAAGGCGTTAGCGCCTAGATAATAAAAACTTATTTGATTTTATCTCACCTCACCTCACATCACCTCACCTTCCTCACCTCACCTCACCTCACCTCACATCACCTCACCTTCCTCACCTCACCTCACCTCACCTCACCTCACCTCACCTCCCCTCACCTCACCCAAACAATACAGCGGGGGTGAGGGGGGGGGTGCTCTCGCCCGTGGTCTAAAGTTATGGTGTTAACCTCTCATTCGTTAGGTACTGGGTTCGAATCCTGAACGCACGGGGGAAATGTTCTTCTTTCATGATATGACATTATGCAGTTGTGAGCGCCGTAAAATTATTAACCTGACAGCGCGTTAAAAAAAAAATGTTTTTCAGAATATTATGACTTTATGCAGTTGTGACTTCCGTAAAACGCTTCACCCC